TCCATATTTCTTGGCTTTCCATACGCCGAGGTCTTGTGCAGCACTGCTTGCGCTGTGCACCAAGCTGAACGATGTTACTTTTGCACGGTTTGATGTTCAGTAACCTTGCGATTACGCCCCTCCCCCATCTCCTCTTTAGCGGGTATGTTCGACCCTCTCGATGGGATTTGCACAGCGATACTATGCACTGATTGCGGAGTGCTTTGCTTCAACTCCACGCATGTGCTATAGATCAGCTTCTCACCTACGATTCGGCAGGAACTAATTCTTCAGAGCTTGGTAGTTACGATAACCCGGCCGAATACCTCACTAAACACCTCTGCCACATACTGAACTTCAAAACGCAGTCCACCAAATCGTAAGGGCCATCGTGACAGCACTTTCCATTCTTTGCGAATACCCTCAAGTCGACTGTAGGAGCCACTTCAGACTGTTCCTGACTCAGGATCACTATTGGACGGGAGAACTTTCTGCGTTTCCCAATGTCCCACTAAGGTAACACCACTAAGATGAATCGCTGTTGCTGAGATGATATGCTCCTTGAGGTGTTGTGTGATTCAAATCGCGCTACGGAATGGCTATTGAATAATTGGGAAGGGGTGTATTGAAGGCAATGTTCGCCATACCAACGTGTAATACTTCGACAGGTTCGAGCGATTCCCGAATTTTAAAGCGCGTTCCTTGCATTTCCAGTGGTCCGTCCGTAGACAATCGCAGAAGCTGATAGTACTGCAAATTAAGAATTATTCGGAGCAGGTAGGCTGAAAAACGCGACCAACTTTTGCTTCGTCGAGGAGATGTCGGCATGTGGCGTCATTCATTACCAAAGGGTCCTTACTCACTGTTCCAACAAGGAATTTCGGATGACAAGAAGCAAGTCGCACATGCTCTAGCAGCTGCAAAATCACTGAATGAAGCAGTCTTCAGAAAATGACACAAAATTTGTCCCTGCCTTGGGAGGAATTTTGCCGATTTGCCTGTTCAAATCTGACCCATCTTGTCACAGCTGCGAAAACCTGAAAGAACGATCTGTGATTCACCATAGGAGGTAAGGAAGGAACAAAGAGTGAAACAGGGTTATAAGTTCAGGAAGGCGGGCGGCATATAGTTGCGCGTTTGCGCAGGAGGGGAGGGAGCGATTGACTTCCGGTGTGTGGCCAAGAAGCATCTCCAGACCTAGCCGCTTCCCACCTGCAGCCAAGTGCTGCCTAAGCAAAAACTGAGTGATACTGTTGCTTTGGCTGCTAGCTCTTCACTGAATTTTACGCGCAGTTCCGCATAAATAGTATGAACTGCCGTTCCCCCAAACTTATAACTCAGTAACTGGAGTTTCAAGTCTGATCCCCGTCCCGGAGATCGACGTACCTGTTCTTCAGATTGAACATTCAGCTCTTCTCTTGAAATTAGTTTGACTAGTCGATCGAAAGAAAGCTGGTTGAAATTCTCACTCTCAGCAACTTTCTAGAAAAGTAAAGGGCAATCATTACTCGAAATTCAGCAACTACTTACATTTAGAGTAAAAGTGAAACCTGGAAATTCTGGACGATGTACATCTCAGCGCAAAGAAAGAGCTCCTGACAAGAGTGAGCATCAGCAGTCGCGTGGATTTCAAGGCAGTTCGATAGGCCCAAATTCTCCTTCAGAAACTCGCAGCAGAGTCCCTTCAAATAAAAATTGTATCATTGAAGCCCTGAAACTTTGAAAGCACGCCTCGCGTTCGGAAATGGAGAGCTGTGAGGTACGAGAATGGTGGCGCAAATTGGAACTGGCCAATGCCCCAAATGGTACCCCATTCCGGAGCGAGCTTATGCGTGGCGAAGGCGAAGAGAGGGGGTGATTGAGGAATTCTCCCTTTGTTGCCAGCTCTTCGTCTTTATCACCTAGAAGTTGAGAGAACTTGTAGCGACTACCACACCACCAAGATACCTCTCGAAATGGAGGTTGGGTGTTGCTATGATCATTGGGCGGTGCCGTGGCTCGTTGTGAACGGGTCGCGCCTTTCACGGATCAAACTGCGGATCTATGACAAATTCAGGACGAACGATACATGTGGTACATCTTCACTGTTGGCATGCCATTAACGCTTCGATGAAAGTCCGCTAAATCCCTCCTCCCAAAGGCGAAGCTCGCTGCGCCTCCCCCCCCCCCCAGCTCTCCACAAAAAA